GGGGGGGGGGGGGGGAGGAGAGAGAGGCGGGTAAACGAAATAACGTAAAAATACGGTCCTAAAATCACGCCTACAATAAATAAAGGAATAATTATACCCTTAATTTGAATTATGGTATATAAATGGTAATTTAGTATGCTTAAATGTAATTAACACAATCCTTAAATAATGAAGGTAATAATGTTTGATATATGGTATAGATAGGTAAAAATCCCTTTTCAATACTCATCCAAGCCCAATCACTAACCTGACCAGCCCCTTCCTTAACATCAAACGAAGCCGTCTCTCTCTCTCTTCCCTTACCGAAACGATCCCACCTCATTTCACTCCAAAAGAAAGAGAAGGAAGCTCCCCTCACACGGATTGACCCACACTTCTACAAATAAACCCTCACTCTCATCTTTAATCACTGACACCTCCAGAAATACACACCTACTCACGAACACATACAAAAAAGCTAGGAAACTTTTCTTGAATTAAAAAGTTTTCGCTCAGATCTGCAGTTCTTAAAACATCAAATTATTTTAGTTTATCACATGATTTCTGGAATTTTGAAGGTAGATTGAGCATCTAAAATGTTGTTGCTTTGTTGTCCTTCGCTGAAAATCAATGGTCTAAACTCTATTCTCACATCCCAGCTTTTATTTGGTTGTTCGCTCTTGTATTTCCTACTGAGAGGTAAACATATCAATTACTTAGTAATTCTATCTCATCTATGTTAATGAACTATTTTCTCATGTTTGACGTTTGATTTTCATGTGCTTATTAAATATTCAAACGTTTAGATGTAAAATTTTGTTTGATTTGCATATATTCATACAAGTTATTAAAAGTTTGTTTAAACTCATGGAGACGTTTGTGCTGAGAATTCTGAAGATCTAGTTTTATTTCAAATTGTCTCACTTGTTCAGTTAATTTTCGCCCACACATGCTTATGGAATTTATCACAAATCATTGTAATAGCTAAATACGAGGACATAAGAGAATTGGGAGAAAAAGGAGAAAAAACGGGGGGAGCGGGAAAGGAAAACATGACTACTTCTCCTTACTTATAGTAGCAGGGAAAATCCACTACTTCACCAAAAAATCAGTGAAACCCCCACAAAGCTCAGCTTGAAACTAGCTTAAAGCAGTCTGTAAACCAGCTTCTTACATCATTAAAAGAGCTGCAGCTTAAGCTTCATTTCAGCCATGTAAAGTCATTGGAGTTTAGTGAGTTTCCTGAGTCAACTTTACGTTTCTGGCGATTTGGTCGAGTTTTTGTTGAGGTCTTGTACGCGGTTTTGTTTGTGTTTAAGCTTCAATAGTTGTCAAAGAATCGAAGTTCAGATGCATCTATAAAAGGTCCTTTTTGTTCTTATCTCATCTTATTACAACAGCTTGATGAATGTTGTTTATGGATCCCCTCTCTCTGTTAGCATGCTTTCACATGCGATTTCATTTTGTTAATCAATTGTTATGGTGGTTATCGGATCATTAATGTTGAATTGTTAAGGGGGATTGATCAGATTTTCTATGGCTGGCCACTAAGGTGGATTTTGTGTAAATGTGCTAATTATTTCTCTCGTTCTTGAAGTCTGCTAGAGATTTGGTTCCTTATTCTATTTCTTAAATGCTTTCAAAATTAAGTGTCTTCTTGGTAGCTCAGAATTCTTAGGAATGCACGTATGGATTCTTATTTTGCTCATTGAGTGATTGAAGCATTCTGCTTGCTCTGTTCAAGATAGGTGAGGACGTTCCATGAGTTTTAATTATTTGCTAACAGCTAGGTTTATTCAACTTTGCTTGCTTGCTTTGTCTTAGATTAGTTCTGTCGTATACCATGTTAGTTGTCCATCTTAGTGTTTGGTATTTCTCAATCTTATTCATCTTTATTTTGGATTAATTTAATGGCTACTTGTGATGTTGGTTTCTTAAGATAGGATACTATATTGTTCATAGAATCTAAGAATGGGTTTTGATAAAGTAGATAAAAATAAAAGCAAAAGGATTTGTGTGTAAGGGAATATTTATCATCCCCAAACTGGTTTTTGTTGAGGTCATCACATAGTTATGCCAAATAGGTAAGTCTGCCAAGGCTAAGAGGGTGTTTGGACCTAAAAGTATTTTTCAGCACCTAATACTTATCAGCTACTCTAAATCAGCTAAGCCAAACGGGCTTTAACTCATATTTTCATAACTAATTTACTTTTCATAAACTCTTGGCCTCACAATAATACCAAACTAGTTTTAGGGAAATTAATTCATGAACATCGCTAGTTGCTTTAGGCGCGTATTGAATAATTTAATTATTATGGTTATGGATACGGCTCTCGTGGCATAATTATGATATGTAATCTCAAATTCAAGTGCACGTTCACGTGACTTCACCCTACAAATTCAAATAATTAATAATTAATATACTGTAAATAACCGGTGCATTTCACGTGGCATGACTTGCAATGTGTATAAAACAACAAATGCGCGACATTGTAACTTATTTTAAATAAAATCCATAATTACTTAAAATATACAATAAAGCGGTAAAAGGTAAGAATGCACATAGGTTAAAATATGTAATAATCAGATAATTAAGCAGAGTTTAATTGTAAAGCTATTGTGTTAAAACCACAGAATCTGGGAGTGCCTCACACCTTCTTCCAGGTCAACAAAATTCCTTACCCGGTCTTCTGTGTTTCACAAACTTTAATGGAGTCTAATTTTCTTTGAATTGGGATTTTAAAATAAACCGCTGACTGGAGAAACCTCAATAATTATTCCAAGTGGCGACTCTATAATTGAAATAAATAATCTTATTTCAATAATATCCCTCAAAGTGGAAAAACTCCTTTCCCCGTAAAAAGAAGGTGTGACACCCGCGATTTCGGCACCAAAAAGTAGGGAACTGACCGAAGAAAAGGAAACCAAATAGCAATCAATGACCCCGACCTCAATCGGTGCCATTTACTCAAATTTCAAATTCCAGTCAAATTCTCATCGATTAAGTTCCCAAAACTAGATTCGTTCTTTCAATTTGACTCTGAATCATCCAGTAACTAAATTCAATATGCACGCAAGTCGATACACATAATATGAAGTTGTTCAAGACCTTACACAGTTGAACAGATCTTAAATTCTCAAAACGCCCAGCTGGGGCACGCCCCTTTTTCCTCGCGGAGTCTAGGTTTCGACATTCATTGGGAACAACTCGTTTCCTTTTGGAATTTGGTATTTGAAGAGTCGCCACCTAACAGATTAAGGTGCTAGGCCACCTAGAGCAATTAACTCATATAACAAGTTTTCATTACCAGAGATTGGGTAAGGTTTTAGGCACCCCTCGCGGTCCACAATGGTGGGTCCCGACTGAACTCAATTATGTGAATTAGTCATTTAATAGATAGGCCATCTAAGCACGCATATGTAAATAAGGTGAGGGAGGTCCTAGTTTTGTCAGTGTTACATCCCGCATTTAGTACGTTAAAGTTTCGTCATAAGTTAATCGATCTAGAGTGGGGAATGAGATTATTTTGAGATCATAAGCATTTATGCTATTTGTAACAAGCGACAAGTGTTATAAAGGTCAAAGGGTTAACGAATTGAAGAAATTGAGTATCGCCGAAGTTTGTTATTTTGGGATAAAATATGGTCCGAGATATAATATCTGATATTTATGGACTAGTACCATACAAGGTACTTTATGACCATGATAATATGATGTATAAAGTATATTAAGATAAGTAGAATTTTAAGTAATTTAAGATATTTTGGAAAATTAATTAATTATCGGGTAACAAAACATTACCTAATTAATAAATGAATTATAATATAATATTAAGAATCCCCCACGTAGCAGCACCACCATAAGCTTAGGAATGACTCTTAAAGTCATTTGTCTATGTGGCAACTTATCTTAAGACTTAAATGATATACCTTTTTGCAAAAGGAATAACATTATGTCTTAAGGACATAAAAATGGATCATATATCCATCTGATAACGTGAGAGTTCAAGAAATTGGAAGAATTCAAATGTCTGGCATTCTATAGCGTCTTCAATGCTTCAAGACCCGGGATTCCAGAGCAACTTAATTAACGTGAGATTTTGCAATATTAGGGGAGTATGCTATAATCTCTCTCAAGAGAATCGACTCAGGTATGTTAAAGCTAATCCTTCCTTCTTTTGGCATGATCCAAGTAACGATACGTAAACGTAATGTTATTCTATAAGTGATTCTACTCTTAGCAGTTAAGGATGTCTATGTTATTTATTTATGTAAAATGATATTCAAGCATGTCTAAATATGTTCCTAAGTCTCTATTGAGGCGTAGCTGGTTGATTGGTGAGTTGATCAGTTGGAGAGTCAATCGCTATATTGAACTAGCTGTTAAGAGTTTTCCCATTAAAGGCACTAACTTAACATTGAAGAGTATGTTGTTACTTGAATAAAAAAGATGAAGTTTTTAATTGGTGAATATGAAATAGTAATGTCAAGTGGAGTGCATTCAAATATATTACTCAATGCTGGTCAAATTTCAGCTAAGGAAATTTTGAGAGTTTAGACAAGAAGTGGCGTTAACAAAATCAATGACAGTTATGTCATTTAAAGCTTGGAGAATTTTGTCTTTGAGATAATTGCCTTTTGGGGAACGTGTCTTGTATAATTCACATTGATTAGTAAACGGATGGTTAAGGAGAATTTATGGTTAGGAAATGCTCCTGTATTGTTACATAATTATGATTTGCACTATTTGACCATACATTTCATTTCTAAGGTGTTCAAGGGACTTTGAAAGAAAAGGGTACGAGAGATCCAAAATTTATTGTAAACCACTAGATTCTTATGTCCTTTTTTGTCTCATGAATTCTTTAGGTACTATATGCATGTAAATATGCCGAACTCTCCTATGTTTGTGTTTTACTTACTAAGGAGAAGTAAAGAAAATAACTTCGGAACCAACAATGATTTTCTTCATATAAAGGTGTTAATGTTCATAATACACTAATACATGCATCTTCGTGTATATGCATTTACCACCGTGCTACGATCGGTTGGGCAGTTACATATTTACCACCGTGCTACGGTCGGTTGGACAGTCATACATATTCATTTACCACAGTGCTACGACCAGTTGGGCAGACATGCATTTACTACCAGGCTCCGGCTGGTTGGGCAGTTATGTATCATTATTTATCATCGATTGGGCAGTCATGCATTTACCACCGTGCAACGACCGGTCGGGCAGTTACTACTGATCAGTTGGGCAGTTAACGCCACGAGAATGATATAATCAGAACTATTATATCGTAATTTTATTTATTTATACGAATGAGTTTTATTCTACATGGTACGGCCCTCAGCAGCAAGTCAGAAATTATAAGTTGACTCTTATCTCTCCTCGAGATAGTATCTTATTATTACTATGTTTCATTTCTGCCTTACATTCTTCGTGCTGATGTCCCTTTTCCTGGGACGCTGTGTTTCATGCCACACAGGTGTAGATAGGCGAGGTGAGGACCATCCACTGTAGGCTGCCTCCATATATCAGCTTTTGGTTGGTGAGCTCCACATCTTCCTGGAGTATTGTCGAGTCATGTTCTATATATGTTACTTTGTTTTATGAAGATGTCGGGGACCCTGTCTCAACTTATATATTATGATCATGTTTTCTTAGAGGTTTTGCAGACAGTGTCCTGTGTATAGCTTTAGGTATGACATGTCAACGGCCTTGACGGCCCCTATATATCTATATAAATCTTTTGAATTAGTTATGTGAGTTACGTTCTAATATTGTTAATTACATATATAGATGTGGCCTATCATGGCCCGTGACAAGTTTAATAAAAATAAAAGGAGAATATGGGATAAAGTACGTGGCGCTCAGTTGAGTACGCACCGGATGCCAGTCGTGACAAAAGTGGTATCGGAGCAGTTCTGTCTTAGGGTTGTCTGCAAACCGTGTATAATAAAGTCGTGCTTATAAATGTGTTGTGCATCACGTTGTATAAGCAAGAAATTACAGGACATTTAGGGACCAGTTATCCTTCCTTCTTGATATTAGATCGTGCAATAGAGCAGAGTCATAGAGAATAAATCCCCTGACCTTAGACTTGTTTTATATATGCAGCAATGCCTATGACCAGGAAAGCTACGGCTAGTCAGAAGGGTAAAGTATTGGCAGCTGAGGGCATGAGTAGAGTACCAATCTCTAGTGAGGGCCAGGGTGAGGCCCCGAGGGGAAATACAACACCCTCGCATAGTTCTCCGATTTCGCCAGCAGCCGAGGAGATAAAGAGGAACCCAATACCTCCACCTATTGTTCAGGATAAGGATATGGATATGCGGAGTGCAGTACTGTTGTTGACTAGATTGGTAGCCGCTCAAGCTCAGCGCTAGGTAGGTATAAGTGTTGGTTACGTTGACAGGGCTATTAGCGCAAGAGTTTGAGACTTCATCAATCTGGACCCTCCAGTGTTTACCAGAACCATCAAGTATGAGGACCCGCAAAACTTTATTGATAGGATGCAGAGGACATTGAGGGTGATGCATGCATCAGACACTAAGTCAGTAGAGTTGGCTTCTTACCGATTGCGGGATGTTGCGGTTCAGTGGTATGAAACTTGGGAATTGTCTAGAGGGACAAATGCATCTCCAGCGGTATGGGGAGAGTTCTCATGGGCTTTCTTGCGTCATTACTTGCCGTCACAGATTTGTTAGGCAAGGGTAGACAGGTTCTTGGCTCTTAAACAAGGGAACATGAGTGTGCGGGAGTATAGTCTCCAGTTTGATTCATTGGCGAGGTATGCCCCCTCGATTGTGGCTGAAATAAGTGACCGAGTACATCAATTTGTGGTAGGACTTGGGCCGTACATAATAAATGAATGCTCCATGGCCACTCTGCTCGATGGTATGGATATTTCCCGCATCCAGGCTTATGCTCAGAATTTGGAGGACTGGAAGCGACAGCAATACGAGAATCATGATGAGGGTCAGCGTAGGAAGACCAGATCTACTAGGCGACCTGAGGATTTTTCGGGTGATCCTATGTTACCATATCCTGTTGAAAGTGTCCGCCAGTTGTAGAAGCCGTATTATGAGGGATCTGTTTATTCTAAGTCAGGTCAGGGCTCAAGAATTTCGGGTTTTCAGAATCGGAGGGATTTAGCGCAACTGAGGGTGCCCCCTCTGTGGCTCATTCTAGACAATGTCGTCAAGGGCCTAATGTATTCTATACCTGCGGTGACCCTAGTCATTACATGGGGGATTGTCCTATAAATGGCAGAAGCGGGATGGTTTAGCCCACCAGATCTATAACAGTCTCCTCCTCTTTAGTATGCCTTTAAGAGCGAGGCCCTCAGGCATCAGCTGGTAGATGTAGAGGTAGGGGAGGAACATCTAGCTCCGATGTTAGTCAGAACCGCATATATGCTTTGGCAGGTCATCAGGACCTAGAGGCTACACCAGATGCTATGTCAGGTACTGTGACTATGAGTAATGTTCGATCTTACTAACACAAATTATCTAGTTAATATGATTAAAATAAGATTGAGTTGGCATTACGTCTGAAGGGTTAAGGAAAACCAAGGCTAGCTTGAAAGCAAAGTACGAAATTGGTTGTTAAGATTACAACTAGTAGGCGTCAACGCCTAGAAGATAGATAACAGAATCATAGGTGACGAATGGATTAGGAAGTAGTTTTAGGGAGGGACGACGTCCTGACCCCGTGTGAGCCTGATAATTGTTTCATTGGAGTATAGCCCGGGAAGATATATACATTTATAATTGATGAGTATATATGTACATCTTGCAAGTTTAAACATTTGAGGACGAATGTTTCTAAGGGGGGAAGGATGTTATATCCCGCATTTAGTACGTTAAAGTTTCGTCATAATTTAATCTATGTAGACTCGGGAATGAGATTATTTTGAGATCATAAGCATTTATGCTATTTGTAATAAGTGACAAGTAAGTGTTATAAAGGTCAGAGGGTTAACGAATTGAAGAAATTGAGTATCGTCGATGTCTATTGATAGTACTAATATATCGTCTCTTATTGCTCTCTTGAGCCGATGGTCTCCTGGAAACAGCCTCTCTGCCCCTCGGGGTAGGAGTAAGGTCTGCGTACATATTACCCTCCCCAGACCCCACTTGTGGGATTATACTGGGATGTTGTTGTTGTTGTTGTTCTTGTTGTTGAATATCGCCGAAGTTTGTTATTTTGGGATAAAATATGGTCCGAGCTATAATACCCGACATTTATGGACTAGTACCATACAAGGTGCTTTATGACCATGATAATATGATGTATAAAGTATATTAAGATAAGTAGAACTTTAAGTAATTTGAGATAATTCCTAATTGTATGAGAAATTGATTAATTACCGGGTAACGGGACATTACCTAATTAATAAATATATTATAATATAATATTAAGAATCCCCCCACACACATGCAGCACCACCATAAGCTTAGGAATGACTCTTAAAGTCATTTGTCTATGTGGCAACCTATCTTAAGACTTAAATGATACACCTTTTTGCAAAAGGAAATAACATTATGTCTTAAGGACATAAAAAGGACCATATATCCATCTGATAACGTGAGAGTTCAAGAAATTGGAGGAATTCAAATGTCTGGCATTCTATAGCGTCTTCAACGCTTCAAGACCCGGGATTCCAGAGCAACTTAATTAACGTGAGATTTTGCAATATTAGGGGAGTATGTTATAATCTCTCTCAAGAGAATCGACTCAGGTATGTTAAAGCTAATCCTTCCTTCTTTTGACATGATCCAAGTAACGATACGTAAACGTAATGTTATTCTATAAGTGATTCTACTCTTAGCAGTTAAGGATGTCTATGTTATTTATTTATGTAAAATAATATTGAAGCATGTCTAAATATGTTCATAAGTCTCTATTGAGGCGTAGCTGGTTAACTGGTGAGTTGATCAGTTGGAGAGTCAATCGCTATATTGAACTAGCTTTTAAGAGTTTTCCCATTAAAAGGTACTAACTTATCATCGAAGAGTATGCTGTTACTTGAATAAAAGAGATGAAATTTTTAATTGGTGAATATGAAATAGTAATGTCAAGTGGAGTGCATTCAAATATATTACTTAAAGCTGTTCAAATTTCAGCTAAGGAAATTTTGAGAGTCAAGACAAGTGGAGTTAACAAAACCAATGACAGTTATGTCATTTAAAGCTTGAAGAATTTCGTTTTTGAGATAATTGCCTTTTGGAGAACGTGTCCTGTATAATTCACATTGATTGGTAAACGGATGGTTAATGAGCATACATGGCTAGGAAATGCTCCTGTATTGTTACCTAATTATGATTTGCACTATTTGACAATACATTTCATTTCTAAGGTGTTAAAGGGACTTTGAAAGAAAAGGGTACGTGAGATCCATAATTTATTGTCAACCACTAGATTCTTATGTCCTCTTTTGTCTCATGAATTCTTTAGGTACTATATGCATGTAGATGTGTCGAACTCTCCTATGTTTGTGTTTTACTTACTAAGGAGAAGTAAAGAAAATAACTTCGGAACCAACAATGATTTTCTTCAGATAAAGGTGTTAATGTTCATAATACAATAATACATGCATCTTCGTGTATATGCATTTACCACCGTGCTACGACCGGTTGGGCAGTTACATATTTACCACCGTGCTACGGTCGGTTGGACAGTCATACATATTCATTTACCATCGTGCTACAGCCGGTCGGGCAGACATACATTTAGTATCTGGCTACGGCCGGTTGGACAGTTATGTATCATTATTTACCATCAGTTGGGCAGTCATGCATTTACCACCGTGCAACGAACGGTCGGGCAGTTACCACTGATCAGTTGGGCAGTTAACGCCACGAGAATGATATAATCAGAACTATTATATTGTAAATTTATTTATATATGCGAATGAGTTTTATTCTACATAGTGCGACCCTCAGCGGCAAGTCAGAAGTTATAAGTTGACTTTTATCTCTCCCAGAGATAGTATCTTATTATTACTACGTTTCATTTCTACCTTACATACTCGGTACATTCTTTGTACTGATGTCCCTTTTTCTGGGACGCTATGTTTCATGCCACGCAAGTGTAGATAGGCGAGGTGAGGACCATCCATTGTAGGCTGCCTCCATATATCAGCTTTTGGTTGGTGAGCTCCACATCTTCTAGGAGTATTGCCGAGTCATGTTCTATATATGTTACTTTGTTTTATGAAGGTGTTAGGGACCCTGTCCCAACTTATATATTCTGATCATGTTTTCTTAGAGGTTTTGCAGACAGTGTCATGTGTATAGCTTTAGGTATGACATGTCAATGGCCTTGACGGCCCCTATGTATCTATATAAATCTTTTGAATTAGTTATGTGAGTTAAGTTCTAATATTATTAATTACATATATAGATGTGGCCTATCATGGCCCGTGACAAGTTTAATAAAAATAAAAGAAGAAAAGGGGATAAGGTACGTGGCACTCGGTTGAGTAGGCATCGGGTGCCAGTCGTGGCCCTCTAATTTAGGTCAAACAGTTAGCCTATAGGATCACATATGTCTAATACCCGGTAAGCCTTCCTCAAATAGAGGGGTTACATGTGGCATTAGCGCACAGGTCATCATATCCTTTACTACCCAGTTACTATCCCATTGGTCATAGCCTAAAGCGTTCTAGTAACCTTGAGATGTATCCTATGCGTGCATTACCCGTCCCTTTCTTATGGACCTGGAGGTATTTAGGACCTCCAATTTAGGCAGTTCTAGACTAT